CCATTTGAAGCACATTGTCGATTAGGACATCCCTCTCTGCCTTTGTTGAAGAAGTTTTATCCTCAGTTTCAGAATATTTCTTCATTGGATTGTGAGTCATGTCGATTTGCAAAACATCATCGCATCTCGTTAAGTCCAAGGGTTAATAAACGATTTGAGTCAGCTTTTGAGTTAGTTCATTCTGATGTTTGATGACCATGTCCCGTTGTTTCCAAAACTGGGCGTAAGTATTTTGTCAACTTTGTAGATAAGTTTTCACGAATGACTTGGATTTACTTTATGAAGATCCACTCTGAAGTGTTTACTCATTTTTCTGCCTTCTGTGCTGAAGACAAAACTCAACTGAATGCTTCAGTGCGTATTCTAAGGAGTGATAATGCTATAGAATACATGTCATAGTTATTTCGGTCATACATAAGACAACATGGTATACTACATCAGTCTTCATTTGTTGATACACCCTCTCAAAATGGAGTTGCTGAAAGGAAGAATAGGCATCTACTTGATACAACTCGGGCTCTTTTGTTCCAAATGAAGGTTCCTAAATAGGTTCTGGGCTGATGTGGTTTCTACGACTTGTTTTCTGATTAATCGCATGCCGCTTACTTTGCTTGGTGGTAATGTGCCTTACAATGTCCTTTTTCCAAGCAAGTCATTATTTCCAGTGGAACCTAAGGTATTTGGAAGCACATGTTATGTTCGAGATGTTCGACCAACTGTTACCAAGTTGGATCCCAAGGCATTGAAGTGTGTTTTCCTTGTCTATTCTCGCCTTCAGAAGGGGTATCAGTGTTATTCTAGTGAACTTGGCAAGTATTTGGTGTCAACTGATGTGGTATTTTCAGATACTACACCAGTCTTCTATTCACCTCCCATTTCTATAAGTCAGGGGGAGGAAGATGAGTGGCTAGTATATCAGGTTACTCGTACTTTGATAGAACAACGAGATGATGTTCCTCCATCTCCTAGTTCTATTGAGCACCAATCCATTATTCTGCCTTCACCACATGCTCCAACTGTGTTATCAAGACTACAAATTGCTCAAGTTTACTCATGGAGGCAACAGACGAATGATACATGTTCTGCACTAGTTCCTTCATCATCAGATTTGCCTCCATCTGATCCTCCAGAAGACATTGACCTTCCAATTGCTCTTTGCAAAGGTATACGTACTTGCAAATCCACTTATTCTATTACTAATTTTATTTCCTACAACCACTTGTCTCCTGCATCTATATCTTTGATTGTGTCTCTAGACTCTTTTTCTATACCCAAAACGGTGAAAGAGGCTTTGAATCATCCTGGATGGTCTGAAGCAATGCTTGAGGAAATACATGCCTTAAAGAAAAACCACTCTTGGGATTTAGTGGATTTACCCAGTGGAAAGAAAGCAGTGGATTCAAGTGGGTGTTCACGGTTAAAGTTAATCCTGATGGATCTGTGGCGAGACTTAAGGTCAGACTTGTGGCTAAGGGATATGCTCAAACTTATGGGGTGGATTATTCATATCCGGTTGCCAAACTTACTTCTGTCCGCTTGTTCATTTCTCTAGCTACTTCTGAGAATTGGCCTTTGCATCAATTGGATATTAAGAATTCTTTTCTTCATGGTGATCTCCATGAAGAGGTATATATGGAGCAACCACCTGGTTTTGTTGCTCAAGGGGAGTATGAAAAAGTATTCCATTTGAAGAAATCCTTATATGGCTTGAAGCATAGTCCCTGAGCTTGGTTTGGTAAATTTAGTGAAGTAGTTCAATAATTTGGGCTGAAAAAGAGCAAATGTGATCATTCTGCCTTCAACAAGCAATCAACAGCTGGATCTATTCTCCTTGTTGTATATGTGGATGACATTGTTATCACAGGGAATGATTATGTAAGAACCTCTTTTCTCAAGTTTTTCTTACATACAAAGTTTCATACAAAAGACCTGGGACAACTGAAATACTTCTTGGGAGTAGAAATAACTAGAAGCAAGAAGGGAATTTTTCTATCTCGGAGAAAGTATATGCTTGACTTACTAGCAGAAACTGGTAGCTGGCTGCCAAGCCTTGTTGTACTCCAATGGTTCCTAATTTGCATCTTATGAATGATGATGACGATCTATTTAATGATCCAGATAGATACAGGAGGTTAGTTGAGAGATTAAACTATATCACTGTGACTCGTCCAGATATTGCTTTTGCAGTGAGTATGGTTAGCCAGTTCATGTCCGCGCCAACAGTTAAACATTGGGAGGCTTTGGAGCAGATCCTATGTTACTTAAAAGGAGCTCCTAGACTTGGCATATTATATAGCAATCACGGTTATTCTCGCATTGATTGTTTTGCAAATGCAGATTGGGCTAGATCCAAGATTGGTAGAAGATCTACTACTGGCTGTTGTGTATTTGTTGGTGGAAACTTGGTATCATGAAGAAGTAAGAAACAAAATGTTGTATCTAGGTCCAGTGCAGAATCCGAGTATAGAGGTATGTCACAATCAACATGTGAGATAATGTGGATACATCACCTTTTAAATGAAATTGGGTTGAAGCATCCTACTCCATCAAAACTCTGGTGTGATAATCAAGTTGCACTCCATATTGCCTCAAATCTAGTGTATCATGAAAAAACCAAACATATTGAAGTTGACTGTCATTTTATTCATGAGAAGATTCAAGAGAACTTGATTTATACTAGCTACGTGAAGACAGGAGAGCAGCTAGCTGATTTGTTTATTAAAGCATTGAATGCCACTCGAGTTGATTACCTCTGTAACAAGCTGGGCATCATCAATATATATGCTCCAGCTTGAGGGGGAGTATTACAGAATGAACCTAGACACTTTACACAATGAACATAGACTGTTTCTTAGTAGTATACATAACCCATATATAGATAGCAGATTTGTAGGAATCTCTTTTATTTCTTTCCTTAGTTAGCATCTGATGTACATGTATATATATGTATCCCTATATGGAATAATATACCAATTTGATTCTTCCATACCTTGTTAATTATATATAGTATAAAAACAATTTATATATAATATATCCATGACCGTGTATAATCTATGTATAGCGGTTATGAAAAGTAAATAATGAATCGAGTTAGCTATTTGTGTAAAAATCTCATTAATTAATTCATATTTTAAACTCAGTTGGGTTTATGTCGATAAGTAACTAACAAGAACATTTCGTTTGTTATTCATCAAAACTCACATAGCTCAAGATCAACAATTCACAAAACAGAATATGATGATGCCATCATATTACTCTTCTTTATACTAGAGGGATGTAAGTATGTATATTGTGTCCTCATGGACCGCACCTCACTCATTGGTGGATCCCGGATTTTGAGTTCGTGTGTGCTTTACTTTTTTTGACGTAATATTACTACTAATATATCATATAAGTATACAACTATTTAAATATGGAGATAAAAATATTAATGAGAAAACTATAGTACCAATATGAACGACGTCGTAAAAATGTGATACAACAACAACAACGCAGCCTTTCGGAAACAACCTCTCTATTCCTTCGGGGTAGGGGTAAGGTCTGCGTCTGATTCTAATAGACCATCGGCATCCTTCCCTCCAAGAACTTCCCACCTTGCTTTTGGGGTGACTCGAACTCACAACCTCTTGGTTGGAAGTGGAGGTTGCTTACCATCAGAGTAACACAATTTACGGTTCTGGAGGAATCCTTGGTTTTTAAAAGCACATATTCTTTTCTTTCTTTGCTATGGTGAATTAGATAAAGTAACAAAA